GTCTATGGGTTCTTTAAGAGTCTGAAAATACCTAAATAACATTATATTTTATAATAATAACATTATCTTACTCGCCCTGAATCTCAAAACAACTATATTCATCCCATACTGTAGGGGACTAAACATCTTCCATTAACCCCATGAACACACATAGATGCACACATTGGTAAACACATTGCACCTTTCAACCTCTAAAGCACTCACCAAATTTGTAATATGGCGCAGGTACAGCCATCTGCACAATGATCTGACCCTCCACTTGTGCTTTGGCAGGGGCCACCAGGTAGATGAGTCCACCCCAGAGGTTGCACACCTGCATCATCTCTGCAGTTATRGAAAATTGTTCATGGACGCATGGTGCTCTCTTCAACTCTGCATGATTCAGTCTGTCTGTCTGACAGCCTATCTGGATCTGAGGAAGACAAGGAATATGGTTTACTGCTTTGAAGACGTGGACTATRGAGCAGTAACTATATTCTTCTATGCATGAAATTGCTAACAGTCATTAACAGGCCTACTGAGTAGAAGCAAAAAGGTGCTTCACTTCAACAAACTCATTAATCCTTGATGTCTTAATGGCTTTGTGGGCTGTACCTTCCATCCACTGTTGACCATCTCTGCTGGTATGGCAATGTAGGTCTTCATGCCAGGAGAGAGGTAGAGACCTGTACTGATCCACTCCCAGTCTAACACACACACACACACACACACACACACACACACACACACACAAAGATACAAAAAAAAACATAAACACAAAATTTGCTTTCAAAAACAAAATAAAGGAAGAAGTAGTTAGATAAGATATCAGTCATTTTATTTATCTCTGGTCTTAAATGTCTTAATCTCAGGTTAAGAAGGTGTCAAATTAACTAACTTCAAGGTATGTGCAATAGTGCATATACTGTATACAAGTTGATCTCATAACATCTTCATATATTTGGTCTCACCTGATGTATTAACACTGATCTGGATCCTGTGGTTATAGATAACTGGCATCATAGGGTTATCCTTAATGAGGAATGGCAGGAGAGCATCTGGATTYGGGCAAACCTTATATATCTCTGTGCCCACACTGAGGAGCAGGTGGTCTTTGGAACTCCTTACAGGACAGCTGTCACACACCTTGAAAGAAGACGAATCACACATCATGCTGATCTCTAGCTGAGGATTCATTGTCATATACATCATATCAGATCTATAGTATATTGCTCTGATGAAAGAGCTTTGTGCTGCTCTGTTGGAACAT